ATACAGGCTCAGCTGATTTGAAAAGTCAACATAGTGTGATTTCAAAAGTGAACACAGTGTGATCTCTGAGTGCAAAGGAGGATCTTATACAGGTATATACCGCTTTTCCAGCAATATGCCACAATTTAAATAATGGTGTGCCAATGGTCTGCCAGGGGAAGATCGGTGTGAATATAGTTCCTGTGAGTTAAACTGAGATGTACGTGGAGGATAAATGACTTAAATTCTCTTACATCCAGTGACCAGTTTAAAATCAAGATTACATTTTTAGGTGTGTATGTGTCCATGCATGTGTATGTTTAACAGACAGCACATCCACACTCAAGCCTAACTGTCATTCTTCAGCTCACTATATAATCGTAAGAACTCAACAAAGTAGAATCAAGAGACTGGCTCATTTCAATTCCCTTACAATTTCCTCTTTTCCTTTCCTAATATTCTTAAATACTGTGCTATCTAAACTTAAACATAACTTCTAAATAAAAATGTATTCTGGTATTTGCAAAAGACAGACAAAAAAATGAGGCAAACTAAATCAGATCTGAAGGAGCGCTTCCAATCCTTTCATATTGTCACATTAAGCTTTGGTCACTTTAGACTCACCCACAGTGGGAAGACTAGAGTAACACACACTTTTACTCAAGTAAGAGTACTGTTAATTAAAAAAAAAAATTACTCAAGTAGGAGTAAAAGTATGCTGCTAGAAAAGTAAAATTTCTTAAAAAAAATAACTCAAGTAAATGTAACTTGTCCCACTTTTGCATCCAGGCTGTAGTTCCAGTAATAGTGAACAGCTGAATCCTCCGTCCTCTCTCATCCCTGTGCTCATTTCTTCTGTTTTGTTTTAGTTTCCGTTGGGTGAAAGATGATGTGGCGATGGATCTGGACCTCGTTGGTAAAGGGACGATTCGCGCAGATAAAAACGACACTCTGGAGGATTACCACGGCTCCTATCGCTGCTACGCCTCCAACACACTAGGGACCGCTGTGACACAGACTGTGCACGTCACCGTAGAACGTGAGTCAGCCGGGACCTGGACATATTTCTCACTTATGCATTCACCTAAAGAAAGTGAAACTCAGAACATGTGATAAAACTGTACAGTGTTTTGGAAATACTATGTGTTAGCAGTTAGTACCCCAGAGAAATTAAATACCCCGTCTTTAAAGGAAAATCTGTGACTCTGCATGAATCATGGTACAATCTACATTATAACCTAAGCTCTTAGATAATTATGTTTTTATCTGCTGTTGTTTGGATCCTTTCCAGTTCATACATTGTGTTGTGGTTATGTGAGGACATGGAGCAGATCCTCTCTCTCTCCCTCGCTCTCTCTGTGCTCTCCCTCTGATGATGCAGGATGTCTGACTGTGCATTTTTCTCATCTGTAGTTACCATGGAGACCAGCACTGGGCTAGGACTTGGTTAATGTTGGACTGTTGGGTCGGCAGGGATGATTTGCTGTGATTGGTCATTTAAAGTGATAAACTTTAGGAACAGGATGCTTTTTTTTATTTTTTATTTTTACTTATGTTTAAGGTTATAGTTAATATTGCGGCATATGTAGCCCAATGCTTACCCCACACACCGCGGCAGGCTAAGACACGGGATAAAACACTGTGGACGCGTAACTCGGAACAAATGCACATATACACGGTACTTGTTTGTAATAGTAGGCATACGCGTTAGAGCACTTACTTTAAAGCTGCTGCCGTCCGTAGCCATGCACCGATTCCTTCTATATGCAAATCTTTCCTGTTAAAATACGGTCAACAGAAAGTTGCTCCCCGTGCTCACCCCGCCGCCATGATCCAAGGCCTTACACTCAACAGGTGAGCGCGCTCATATATAGGCCACACCACACCCACCGTGCCACCCCCAGACACTGCAGTGTAGTGCACAGAGTTAAAGCGCGTGCACATTAGTCACGTGAGGAAACCAATAGAAAACCCACGAATGGCTCCTACAGTTAAGGTTAGGCTTTGGGCTACCATTATCTCAATTTACACCTGAAACTAAAACAGAAAACTTGCCAATTTGTCAACAGGACAAAAGTTTATTTGGTCGAATATGTTTCACAGCTCACCTTGCTTGTTCAGTTGTGGTCAGACGCTGGTGGACACTGTCTTATATCTGTCTGCAGGGAAGAGCTAACTACACTGAAACCACACAGATCCGATTTTTTCAAATGCGACACAGGCCACTTGGATATGTGCTCCTAAAACCGATACATATCTGATCTTTTGACATGTGAACGGCCAAGGTGCATTCATCCACCTACACGTTATCAACAAGCAACAAATGTACACAAACATTCGTCTTATCATACGAAAATTGTTAATGAACTCCATGTCACTGAAGCGAAGCACATTGTTATTCCACCACTCTTGGCTCCGTCTCCACATCCACACTTCTCCTTCTCAATCTCCTCCTTAAAACAAGTAAGTTGTTCATGTTCTGGCTCCGGTACGAGAGGAACTTTAAAATCTCCAGGTGCTCAATGCTGCGTCCATGTTTGGACAACTTCTGTAAACACAGAGACGCTCACTGCGGTTGACGTCGTCGTGTCTCCAGTGCACATGTGGGACACTTTCGGGCCGTTTAATGTTCACACTGGAGTCACATACAAGTCCCATTTAATTGGAAATGTGAACGACCTCACAAAAACATTGGATTTCACACAAAAAAAAAAATCCGAATTAAGCTCTGCAGTCTGAACATAGCCTAACACACACTCAGTGCAAGCTCAATAGGCCGAGCTAACTAACAGAAACTGTAAACAAGTGTGTGTGTTAGTTTCAGAGTAGTTAGCTCCTCCCTGCATGCAGATATAAGACAGTGTCCACCAGCATCTGACCACAACTGAACAAACAGCTTAGATGAGCTTTGAAACGTATTCAACCAAATAAACTTTTGTCCTGTTGACAAATTGAATTTCTTCTGTTGCCATGGATTCTACCTGGACGAATGAGGGACTTTACACACATCTTCAAACAGAAAACAGCCAAAATATTAACATTATGTTACAGACCCCAAGTACTGGGGCTGCCGTAGCAGAGATGACACAATCTGAAATATAATAATAATAATGAAAACAAGGAAGACGCGGAGCACTCTCTTCTGTGACCAGATTGCGTTTTTTAATTGTTCAGTATAAAAAATATAACACTACACCATTAAAGTGCATTGTGTCCCAGTACACATTCTTCAAGTCACCACACACACAAAACAACCCTCACAATTTAACAAATTACTAATAACAGGATTACTCAGATGGACTGGACAATAAACTGTACTTTTACTATGTTAAACTTTGTCAAAAATAAAAGCATACAAATGTTTTTTAATTACAACAGACCTAAATAGACTGCCTGAATTCTGACGCTGGCAACCATGGCAACTCCACCGCTAACCTAAACCTTAACGGTTATCTTACAATTATTAGTGGAAAATTACAGATTAACATACTAATAACAATGAAAACAATATCACATGTTGATAAAACACTCAATAATAGTCTTACACTGAATTATGTGGGTGGTTTTTACCGTGTACTAACCTGAAATATAATAATAATAATGAAAACAAGGAAGACGCAGAGCGCTCTCTTCTGTGTCCAGATTGCGTTTAAGGCGAACCGGAAGTTGCGCCGTAAATCCAACCTGGGGCGACGCCTCTCGCACAAAGGTTCCGCGTTAATAATCTATTTCTGATTGGTTAATAAAACAGGTTAGTACTTTGTATTATTAGTATTAATGACATTTAAAACTGGTTTCGGCATTACTTTACCCCCCAAAATATATATATATATATTCATTTGTGAATTAAAGATCGAAGTACCAGAAAAAACAAAGAACCAGTGTGGTGACCATTCAAGGTGCACCACAATTACAATTTAAAAGCTCTGGTTGCCACATGCTATAAACAGGCCTTAAATTTTTGACATTATTATGTTTGAGGTAAGTTGAGGCTGTAGGTGACAGATTTTTAAAGTTACTTCTTCTCACATGGTAACTACCTAAAACATTTTCCTAACCTTAACCATTTTCCTCACCCTAACAAAATCCTGTTCCTAAACTTAACCAAACCCTCACCCTTCAACTCTAACTCTAACCATGACCCATTTCTGAACATAAAAAACATCACCAAAATATCTCTTCAAATGACTGTCCCTCCCGACCCAACGTTCTAGTATTAACTTTATTATTATGCCTGCTCATAGCAACAGAAACACATGACTGTACAGAACTTTGTGATAACTTCCATCCCTCCAGACCCGACTGTCTAGCACTAACACAATAACTTAAGCTGTATCTATGTGTTTTAGGTCATCCAGTTCTTCAGAATCAGAAGAAAAAGATCGAGCAAAAGTTTGAAGGGGACAGTCTGGTTATGTCCTGTAATCCTCCAGAGAGCTCCACCCCTCCACACATTCACTGGATGGACAGGAGTAAGTTAAGCTACACTACACTGCAACACAACAAAGCTCTCGCATTCAGAATATTCATCTAGTTCAGATTTAGTTCAAGCGTCACCTGAAGTTGTATTCGGAGTGAAACTCTTGTGTGGCGGCATACGAGGGGTTAACACTTTAGAATGTTCAATTTCATAATAAATTGTTGCAACAATGCCACCCCAAATCTAATTTGGGGAAATAGAGTAAATATAAGGCACACAGGTAAGCATATCAAAGTGAGGGAGAGAGCCAGGTTCCATCATTTACACAATCTTTATTTTTCTATTTTAAAAGACAGTTTTAAGTTGCTTAAGCTACATCAATAAAAAAATAGGCAAAACAGTAAAACACGAAAGTGGAGGAAACAGGTGCAAAATGTTGAGACAAAACAAAAAACAAACAAAACAGCAAAACAAAACCAACAAAACAAAAAGCAAAACAGAAAGCAGAAACAAAACAGCAAAACAGCACAAAACAGCAGAGGCGGTGTGTTCACGCCGCTGCAGGCCACCGCTAACACCTAGAAAGTTAGTTTCATAAGCTATACTCTGAGCCCGCAGTACAAAATTCTGGGCTAAAGGACACATACCGCCATTGGAAGTGACGCTGCACAACCCCAGGCTGAATCAAAGAACTTTGCGCAGAACTACTGCTTCCAGACATGGACCGAACAACAAGGACCGACACGCTATAAACAGAACACAACTAAGGAGGATGATTTGCACAGGTAATACTTTGTAGTAGGGCTTGGTTACCTGCCTCCCCGGTTTGGGGGACACAACGGCGCACAGCAAAGAGCAATAGAGCGAGGGACTCCCTGGGCTCACCCGTGGAACTAGGGAGAGACACCGGTAAGGATTTGGGCATGGATGAATGAATGGAGGAGTATCGGGCGTGCATTATCTGTCGAAGAGATGAAAGTGCACACTAGGAGCGGCCACCAGGAGAGGCCCGGAAGAGTGTGTGAGCAAAAGGGGGAACGACGGAGAAGGGAGCTCTTAAATAGTCCACCAGTGCAGCGCCACTGAACGACAGGTAAGAGCACCCGCAGCCTAGACCCTCAAAGCTGGTCTTGCCACACTTGGATCGCTTATTTTTTTTATTTTGCCCATCAATCGACTGCTCTTTACTTACTGACTTATTTACTGTGATGTGCAGCTCTCCATGAGAGGCAACTTCACAGCTCTTTGTTATTGATTTAGACTTAGACTTATGATGCGGCTTAACACATTCAATAAATAAACCTTTGTATTCAATTATACTTCAGTGATTTTTAATGTGACAGTATTGTGTGTATTTCTTCATACTGAACACACTGTACTGCAAAGTCACTTGTGTTAAACTGTTTCACTGTGGAAGTGTCGCCACATGATCCTGATCAACACTAAACAGGAAATCCAAAACTCTTCTAGATCATTTCAAACAAACACATGATGACTGGAGCTTGGTGACGTGTTTTTCTTAGAATGGATGGAAGTTTGGAGAAAATCAAGCAAATAATGATCATGTTATGCACGTAATATTCATGCTTCTTCCTTTTGTCTTTGCATGACTCTTTATTTTTGGCTCATGATCCAAAGACAGAGAACAGGAACTGACAAATAATTTTAATAACAATTTTGAGCTCAGTATTTTTCACATACAAATATTTCTTCTTTATAGCAACTAGATGTCACATTTTGGGAGCCTTGACTATTATGCTTTTGTCTGGACAAAACAGAAACTTTGAAGTCTTTTTTTTTTTTTTTCCAGTTTCACACTCTGGAGAGTTACGGTCTTTTGCCTTTGTAGAGCAGCATGGGTATCACAGATTATCAAACTTTTCTTGTCAACCTTTTTTCCACAAACTGCCACTTAACTGATCTTAAACTGTTATAAATAGTGACAACAGGTCATCAAACCAAGTCAGAATTAGAAAAACATGAAAATTAGTTCGATCACTTTAGGTTTATTGCTTGAGTTGAATAGTAGTAAATGCATACGGGCTTGTGTGTGTTGTCTTCTTCAGAGATGGTCCACATAAAGCTGAATGACAGAGTCACAGCTGGTCTGAATGGAAGCCTGTACTTCGCAAACCTCCTGAAGTCTGACTCCAGGCCCGACTACACCTGCAACGCCCAGTACGCCGAGGCCATGACTGTTCTGCCTGAAACCTCCGTCTCCCTCACTGTCCTGTCCAGTGAGTTTATATACTAAACCAGGACTAAACCAGGACTAAACCCAGATTAAACCAGGACTAAACCAGGACTAAACCAGGACTAAACTAGGACTAAACCCAGGACTAAACAGGACTAAATAAACCAGGACTAAACCAGGACTAAACCCAGATTAAACCAGGACTAAACCAGGACTAAACTAGGACTAAACCCAGATTAAACCAGGACTAAACCAGGACTAAACCAGGACTAAACCAGGACTAAACCAGGACTAAACTAGGACTAAACCCAGATTAAACCAGGACTAAACCAGGACTAAACCAGATAAACCAGGACTAAACCAGGACTAAACCCAGATTAAACCAGGACTAAACCAGGACTAAACCCAGGACTAAACCAGGACTAAACCAGGACTAAACCAGGACTAAACCCGGATTAAACCAGGACTAAACCAGGACTAAACCCAGATTAAACCAGGACTAAACCCAGATTAAACCAGGACTAAACCCAGATTAAACCAGACTAAACCAGGATTAAACCAGGACTAAACCCAGATAAAACCAGGACTAAACCCAGATTAAACCAGGACTAAACCAGGACTAAACCCAGATTAAACCAGGACTAAACCAGGACTAAACCCAGATTAAACCAGGACTAAACCAAGACTAAACCCAGATTAAACCAGGACTAAACCCAGATTAAACCAGGACTAAACCAGGACTAAACCAGGACTAAACCCGGACTAAACCAGGACTAAACCAGGACTAAACCCGGATTAAACCAGGACTAAACCCGGATTAAACCAGGACTAAACCAGGAATAAACCTGGTCTAAACCAGGACTGAATCTAGACTAAATAAAGACTGAATGTTGAATCAACCAGGACTAAACAAAGACTAAACCAGCACTGAACCAGGACTAAAGACTATACCAGCAATAAACCAGGCAAAAACCAGGGCTAAACCAGGACTTAACTTAGACTAAACTAGGACTGAATCTAGATTAAATAAAGACTGAATGTAGACTAACCCAGGACTAAACCAGGACTAAGCAAGGACTGAACCAAAACTGAACAAGGACTAAATTAGAACTAAACAAGAACTGAACCAGGAATAAACCAGGATTGAACCAGGACTAAACCAGGACTGAACTGTGCATCTGTAGGCTTGGGTGTTATGTCACTGGTTGTGTTGTGTTTTCAGGTAACAGTGTGCTAACCGGGAGGAAGCCCGACCTCTTCACTCCCTCTGGCCTGCGCAGCTCCATGCTCGCTCTGAAAGGGAACAGTCTGACACTCGAGTGCATCCCCAGTGGACTGTGAGTATCCCAAAAACAAACAATCCAAAAACAAAACCGAAACTTGAGACCATTTTTTTCTATCTGATCCAATCCTGGCCTCAGTTTATTTTTCACAAGAAATAGGCTAAGATTACTCAGTGTTGTTAGAGTATAAGAGCAAAAAATAACTGGTAAAGCCTATCTCTGAGAAAGGTACCTATAGAAGATCAACCTAAGCTTCGAGAGGTTGCAGCTATCTCAAAACTGACCATAGTAAAGTACAAATAAACAATGCAATTCCCAAAGAACAGTGATAATAAGTAACAACAAACTGCCACATTACACAGAACTGAAGACCAGCACCATACAGACAGATATACTGTGTAACTTTCAGAAACCTGTCAGAAGTGAAGAAGCCTCTTGGATGAGAAGCATCTCTAAAAATTGCCCAGTAGGCTCTATTCACACTTACATCACAAACCAGGAAGACGTTTGGAAATATGCGATTACAACTTTCGGGTTAGTTAATGACAATGGGCTCACCTAACATGGATCTATTAAAGCCAACGGTGATCAAACCCACTGAAGTAAAAGTGCTCAGTGGTAAGATGAAGACTGCAGACGTATGTGCTGTTTGGAATCATCTGGAATTTGACGCCTCATCTCCTGTGCACTCTTGAGTTGTGTGTTGGTGGGTAAATGATGAAAACTGAGATATGGTTGGAATTGTTTATGAGCTGAACATAACGGAACACTACAAGGACATGGAGATCAAGAAAACTGCTCCTGGGAAGTTGTAATCTCATCGTTCCAAACGTCTTCCTGGTTTGAGACGTAAGTGTGAACATGAACGTGAGCCTGTTGACAGAAATCTTTTACTTTGGTTCTTATGGTTAAGATGCACTATTTAACATTTCTAGTTGAGGGTCTGCCACCTGTTGTGTCCATGCAGAAGTTATTGTATGGACTAAACCAAAACTGAAATATCACTAACTGTCGTACTTACATACAGAAACATCCTTGTGTCCTTGTATCCCTGTTGTGGCCTCCTCCTGTTTGGTGTTCTCCGCAGATCACCTACATGACCAAATGAATGAAGCACAAAGACCCATGCAGCCTCCATTTTAGATGTGATATTTTCCTGAAGGCTGGCCTATGCGCTTTTTTAAAATGCATGACTGTTTCCCACGGTGATCAGTTAGGACATTTTCCCTCTGTCTGAAATTAGTTGAAGTGGTGCGATGCTTGAAAAATAATGTTTATGCTGCTACTAAGACAATTAGACGTCAATGTCTAAATAGCAGCATGTCGGAATAACAGAAAAACAAATGGCTAATGCTGGCTAATATCTTATGTGTGAGAGATAGAGATGCGCGGATGGGCTATTTTTTCATCCGCAACCGCGACGCAAAACTCATCATCCGCCCGCTGTCCATTTTGCACCGAAGGTTTTCAAAACCGCACCCGCCGCCATCCACCGACTGATTTTAGATTTTAGAACAATCATACAGCAAACAAACTAAGGAGCCTCGATAAAAATGCAAACTATAGCTCATTCATTCCAAAATTCGCTCAGCGTGTATGTTCGCATTCTTAATTGTCAGAGTCGGCGTCAGAGCACATCTACTGGAGGGGCATGGGTCACCAGCAGGGGGCGCACTGCCATTTGAGAAATATTTTAACGCGGTGGAGTCATACACAGCAGACATGCTATCAAACACGTTTTTCTTTAACAGTATTAGGCTAATTATGTGTTGTTATTATAATCATTATTATATTAAGATTATTATTATTATTAGCTGCAATAGTTGTTGAGGCTGTGTGGTAGACGATACGCAAACTAATGAAAACCAGCCTCTTAGAGACTGAAGCAGAATGTTTCCTCTATTCACTGTCCCACTGGTTCTGTTTCCAAAAGTCTATTGTCCAATATGAAGAGATGAAACTGGTCCAAATCCTGGTCCATTCTGGTCCGTGACGCGAGGTCCGGGAGCCGAGTGCACAAGATGGTTGTAAAATGAGTCTTAATCCCACTTCCCACTTCAATCTGAAAGTTACGGCCAGTCCATATCAGCACCAGGACACCAGGTAGAATTATGCCTCTGCGCGCTATGCTCAGGTCAAACTTTTACACCCAGAAACGAGCGGACAAAGGCGGATAGAGCAGTGAGCGACTGCCCTGGCCCCGGCGGCGGCAGCGAGAGTCCGGGCGGCGACAGCCCCGGGTCCCGGCGGCGGGTCTGTCAGGTCGGGTCTTTGACTCTGTTCTCCATTTCCTGTGTGGAGCTTTAGGCTAAAGTAGCAACTGCCGCTAATCGTGGAGCTGCTACGAGTTGACGCAGCAGGTTGACGTGACGTGACGTGAGTGACAGGACAGTTGTCCAATCACACTACACTAAATAAACAGAGACTGTGATGTCATTGATGTCACAGTAAAGTTTGTGCCCTCGGCCCGAAGTGAAATGCGCCAATCAAAATCATTTTAAAATAGTAATAATAACGGCCTGTTGGGGGGTGGGGCACCAGTGGCCGCTAGGGGGGCACGGCCCTCAAATGCCCCACCTTGCCGCCGACACAGTTAATTGTCCGTAACAACCCCAAACTTACCTGGTTTTCTTGCGCAGCTAATTAACTGACAACGTTTTCCGACTAAGCTATTTTTGAACCTTCTTGCCTTCGTGTTGGATGTTGTTACATTCTGAACATTCTGCCATTGCCCGATGTTATTTCAAAGTCATAGCCTCACTCCATCGGTCTTTCTTTAAGTTTTAAATCCCCCGAGTGGCAGTCTACGCTATAATGTCTGCGTGTTTTAAAATATATCTGATATCGAAACAAAAAAAAAAAGCATAACTAAATAAATCTGGCCCTATAGCCACTTACGTGTTGGCAAACAGCTGAAATAAATTAGAAATAATAAAATAAACTGCATATAATATGTGCGTCGTAAACCTTAGGCATCAATAACCCGACACAACCTGAACCTTCAGAACATAAAAACGAGGTCAAATGGGCTAATTAAGGACATGACGTACACTTCATACTACAAACATAGACAATGACACTCGTCTTTTCAGATGTACGTAACAATACTAACAATAACTTTTTTTTTTTTTTTTTTAGTAGTTAAACCGCCACCCGCCCGAATTTAATTAAAATATAATTTTTCTTCACGTCATCCGCCCGACCTGCAGATTAACCGCGGATACCGCGGTTGTAACCGCAATCCGCGCATCTCTAGTGAGAGATTTGTTTAACAGCACAAATCATCTGACCTGTTGTAGTTCCAACTAAGTCAACTCTTTCTGGTCAGGCTGTGTAACAAACAAAAAGGTTAGATTAACGTTGCTGACATCAGCTGCAAAGCCCTTAGACATTCCCTCAAAGCTCATGTTTGATATTTTATAGAAGTTATTGTGATTTGCTCCTCCCTCTCCAAAGCCCAGTGTACTTTGTTCCACGTTGTCATTAGGTTGGTTTTCCAGGAAGTGAAGAGACTTTAATCTTACCTACTGAAAAATGCATCTTAACTTTGACAGTAGCAGTTATTGTTTTTAACCCCATTTGTAATTTAGTAACTTGGGCCCTTTATTAAAGACAGTACTGTAGGAGATGTATTTACCGTGTTGACGTGTTCCAGCTGCTCCTGCGACTCATCTACAGAACTTTCACTGGTGTTGTTGCTGGACATATCGTATATAAGCAAAGTAGTAAAGTCACATCTAAAGTGGAGTTTCATGTGTTCTGAACTTTTTCTGTCCAGAGTACCTCACTAACTCTTGGTCAATAAGATGGAAATGAAACGGTTTCAAGCAGTTTTACAATACTTTATTTAATGTTCAAATACATGCAGCAAAAACATTCAGTCATAAAATTTGATAACCCAATTTAATATTCAAATACTTTTTAATCTGACGGAGTCCTTGTCCTCAGTTAACAAACACTTTATAATGTGAAAAGGAGGAATCCTGTAAAGGAAGAGTAGTTGCATCCATCGTCATAAATAGTAAAGTCTTTCTTGAGTTTTAAGTACAAGACGTCTCCCTTCTCCATCGAAACTATCCTTGCATTTGAAAAGAGGATCTGCTGTGAGCCATAAGCCCAGATGTAAAGTAGCTGCGTCTGGTTGTGATGCAGACTTAAACCAATTCCATGAGGATTGTTAATGTTAAAACAAGTGAATCCGAATTTATACACTCCTTTGACTGGTGCAGTAAAGATGCCTGTTGCTGGGTTGTAAGCTTGGCCCATGTTGTAGAAGACCTTTTCATAAACAAGAGTAGTGTCCACATTAAAAGGCCCCACTTTCCCTTTGTATGTTAGCCTGACAGAGAAGGCCACTTTGGTCTCCAGTTTAGACACTCTGGAGTCTGTGACAAACAGCTGTGATCTCAGGGCCTCCAGCTCAGACTGATGCTGCTGTCTGGAGGAGTTTAGTTCATCTTTTGTCGACTTTAGTTCATCTTTCATCGATTTCAGTTCATCTTTCGTCGACTTAAGTTCTTCTTTTGACAACTTTCGTTCTTCTATCATCGACTTTAGTTCTTCTTTCGTTGATTTTAGTTCTTCTTTCGTTGACTTTAGTTCTTCTTTCGTTGACTTTAGTTCTTCTTTCGTTGACTTTAGTTCTTCTTTCATTGACTTTAGTTCTTCTTTCGTTGATTTGAATTCTTCTTTCGTTGACTTTAGTTCTTCTTTCGTTGACTTTAGTTCTTCTTTCGTTGACTTTAGTTTGTCTTTTAGTGACTTCATCTCCTCTTGAATAAACTGCAGAACCACGTCATGTTGAGCCAGTCTCTCCCTGAGCCGCGGCTCCATGCTTTTACGAGATATGTCTTTGAAAGTTTTCTGTTGTTCTTTTATTGACCTCTTGTTCTTTTATCAACTTCAGCTGAATTTACTGACCTTATATAAACAGAACATATGAGATTACACAGTTTAATGATTAAACATTATGGGCCATATCTTGTCGTTGGTCTTTGTTAGTGCTAGTGTTAATGAGAGGGCGTGCCCAGGTTGGGCTGTACTTGGCCGCTGGGGGCTGGAGTGGGAGGGTACAGGTACATACACTGCACAAAAAAGTAAAGGAACACTTTCAAAACACATCATTTCCCAATGTGAAAAAAATCAGTTGGATATCTATACAAATATGGACAGGGCAATGCCTTAGGAACAAAAAGGATGCTTCTCTTTTAATGGAAATTAAAAACAAGTGCACTAGAGCGGCACCAATAATTTGTTTGGCTGATTTTCCACTCGGGCTGGCTTTTGGCTAGAGTGATTATCACTGACGTGACAGACAGCTGTGATCTCACGGCCTCCAGCTCAGACTGATGCTGCTGTCTGGAGGAGTTCTTTGATCATCTTTAGTTTTTTCATCAACTTTAGTTTTTTCATCAACTTTACTTTTTTCATCAACTTTAGTTTTTTCATCAACTTTAGTTTTTCATCAACTTTAGTTCTTTCATCAACTTTAGTTCTTTCATCAACTTTAGTTCTTCTTTCCCCGACTTTAGTTCTTCTTCCGCTGACTTAAATTTTTTTTTCATTGACTTTAGTTCTTTTTTGTTGACTTTAGTTTGTCTTTTAGTGACTTCAGCTCCTCTTGAATAAACTGCAGAACCACGTCATATTGAGCCAGTCTCTCCCTGAGCCGTGGCTCCATGCTTTTACAAATTAAGCCTTTGCTTTGCTTTCTGAAAGTCTTCTGTTGTTCTTTTATCGACCTCTTGGACTGATTTTGCAAGCAGAGTTTATGAGATTACACAGTTGAATGATTAAATATTACATTGTGTCAGTCACGTCATCTGGTACAGTCTTTGGGAGAGGAGACAGGTTTTATTAAACTACAGCTTGGTCTCATAGATTGTATAAACTGACATAGCTAACATATGGTCATGAAGTAGTTCCTTCAACCTCTGGTTGAGATTGACTTCTGTTGAAAAAACACCTCACCTCTCTGTGTAATCGCTGCTATTTATTTCAATATTTGTCCCTAAATCAAAATATGAACATTAATTACAGACCAGTGAGACACCTTCTATTCCCCAGGTCACTCCAGGTTTGATTGACAGTGTTGCTAAGTGTCCACCCCCTGCCAAACCAGTGCTCAACACCGTCGCTCCTGATTGGTTCTTTGGTTGCTGTAATACGTGTGATTGGATTTCCAAATATGGTTTAGCTGCTATAACTGCTAGCCTTGATGGGCTTCATATGGTTGGAGCCGAAAAACACAACTGAGATATGACACACATTACATACAAAGAGAGTACAGAAATGAGTGATTTTGATTATTAAACCAGTAGTAAGTATCTCTCCTTCCACCATGTTGAGAATGATCACTTTGAGAAGTGCATGTTTTTGGGACTCTCTTGTGTTGTGTTTTGCTTGTGATACATAGTTCTCATAATATTTTTTATAATAATAATAATAATATATATATATATATATTTTTTTTTTATATATATTTTTTTTAAGTTGAAACCAAGCTCCACCAAATATTTGTAAAAATATATGTTACTGGGATAATACAACTAATATTTAAACATATTTTTAATAAATATCACCCACTCCTAAATGTATGTAACTGTCCCCAGACCTACTCCCAAAGTGGAATGGATAAAGAAGGACGGGCGCCTGGAGGACACCGGAGCAGAGGTGACCAACTACGGCCGCTGGCTTCACTTTGAGAGTGTGGAGCAGAGCGACGATGGAGAGTACCAGTGTAGAGCCCACAACGAGCATGGAGAGGCAAAACACTCCTTCACTGTCACTGTGGAAGGTACAGAACCAGGACTAAAGCAGGACTACACCAAAGCTGAACCAGGACTGAACCAAGATTAAACCATGAGTAAAGCAAGACTGAATCAGGACTGAGCCAGGACTTGATCAGGGATTAATCAAGACTAAACTTTTTCTTGTCCATTGAATTAAACTTCATGGTTTTGTTTAGCTGCTCCATACTGGGTGAAGGCGCCCCAGAACCTGATGTATGCACCTCGGGAGAACGTCCGTCTGGACTGTCAGGCTGAAGGTATCCCCACCCCCAACGTCACCTGGAGCATGAACGGACTGCCACTATCAAGTAAGCACAGGACTGAACCAGAACTGAACCAGGATGAAACCAGAACTGAACCAGGACTCCCTTCCCTCTCCGCTCTCACTCTCCTCTCCCTTTCTCTCTCTCTTCCCTCTCACAGAAGTGGATCCAGAACCTCGGCGTACTGTCTCAGGCAGTGTTCTCAAACTGATGGACGTTGAGGTTTCAGACACTGCAGTTTTCCAGTGCGAGGCCCAAAACAAACACGGCTCCATCCTCCTCAACACCTACATCAACGTTGTGGGTAAGCAGCAGGAACTAGACCAAAACCAAAGGTGTATTACATGAAACGAAATGAAGCCAAAGCCTGGTTTATTTGGCCAGTCCCGGCTCATCTAATCCTCAGTCATCTTACTTTTCATGCTATAATCTCTTTTACAAGCTCTGAAGCCATGGAGCTAGTTTTTGCCTAGGATTTCAGGATAAGCCTGGAGCAACTTACCTCCTAAACCCCCTAACCCCCTAAACTAAGTCCATCACAAGGCTCAATGGGCTCAAATTAAGGCTAAGTAATGTGTGTGAATGCACTGTAAACCAGAACTAAACCTGGACCCAGAACTTTTGATAAGACCAAACATAAGTTTAGAAATTATTTGGACACAGCAGCTCACACTTCATAATATATTATAACAACAAATTCAAATTCAAAATAAATTCAAAATAAGTAGCAAAAATAGCAAGTCTGCATCTAAAGTTGGCTCAAACCAAACCAAATGAAAAGTGCAGTAGATATATATAATATTAACAGTGTATTTTGTGTCCTGTTCCAGAGCTCCCGGCGCAGATCCTAACAACGGATGGTCATCGGTACAGAGTCACAGAGGGAGGAGACATTACCCTGCAGTGTGAAGCTTTCGGGTCTCCACAACCACACGTCACATGGTACAAAACACACGTCACATGGTACAAAACACACGTCACATGGTACAAAACACACGTCACATGGTATAAAACATGTCACACGGTCTAAAACACACGTCACATGGATAAAACATGTCACACGGTCTAAAACACACGTCACATGGTATAAAACACATGTCACATGGTACAAAACACACGTCACATGGAACAAAACACATGTCACATGGTACAAAACACACGTCACATGGTATAAAACATGTCACACGGTCTAAAACACACGTCACATGGTACAAAACACACGTCACATGGTACAAAACACACGTCACATGGAACAAAACACACGTCACATGGTACAAAACACACGTCACATGGTATAAAACATGTCACACGGTCTAAAACACACGTCACATGGTATAAAACACATGTCACATGGTATAAAACATGTCACACGGTCTAAAACACACGTCACATGGTACAAAACACACGTCACATGGAACAAAACACATGTCACATGGTACAAAACACACGTCACATGGTATAAAACATGTCACACGGTCTAAAACACACGTCACATGGTACAAAACACACGTCACATGGTACAAAACACACGTCACATGGAACAAAACACACGTCACATGGTACAAAACACACGTCACATGGTATAAAACATGTCACACGGTCTAAAACACACGTCACATGGTATAAAACACATGTCACATGGTATAAAACATGTCACACGGTCTAAAACACACGTCACATGGTATAAAACACACGTCACATGGATAAAACATGTCACACGGTCTAAAACACACGTCACATGGTATAAAACACATGTCACATGGTACAAAACACACGTCACATGGAACAAAACACATGTCACATGGTACAAAAACACACGTCACATGGTATAAAAAACATGTCACACGGTCTAAAACACACGTCACATGGTACAAAACACACGTCACATGGTAACAAACACACGTCACATGGAACAAAACACACGTCACATGGTACAAAACACACGTCACATGGTATAAAACATGTCACACGGTCTAAAACACACGTCACATGGTATAAAACACATGTCACATGGTATAAAACATGTCACACGGTCTAAAACACACGTCACATGGTACAAAACACACGTCACGTGGTACAAAACACATGTCACATGGAACCAAACATACGTCACATGGTATAAAACATGTCACACGGTCTAAAACACACGTCACATGGTACAAAACACATGTCACATGGTACAAAACACACGTCACATGGAACAAAACACACGTCACATGGTACAAAACACACGTCACATGGAACAAAACACACGTCACATGGTACAAAACACACGTCACATGGATAAAACATGTCACACGGTCTAAAACACACGTCACATGGATAAAACATGTCACACGGTCTAAAACACACATCACATGGTATAAAACACACGTCACATGGTATAAAAAACACGTCACATGATATAAAAAACACGGTATTCGCGATTACCATGTGATCATGGTATAAAACACATGTCACATCTTATAAAACACACATCACATGGTACAAAATACACGTCACATGTTACAAAACACACGTCACATGGTATAAAACACACGTCACATGGTATAAAACACACGTCACAAGGTACAAAACACACGTCACATGGTTCAAAACACATGTCACATGGTATAAAACACACGTCACATGGTCTAAAACACACGTCACATGGTATAAAACACATGTCACATGGTATAAAACACACGTCACATGATATAAAAAACACATCACATGGTATAAAACACACGTCACATGGTATAAAAAACACGTCACATGATATAAAAAACACGGTATTCGCGATTACCATGTGATCATGGTATAAAACACATGTCACATCTTATAAAACACACATCACATGGTACAAAATACACGTCACATGTTACAAAACACACGTCACATGGTATAAAACACACGTCACATGGTATAAAACACACGTCACATGGTACAAAACACACGTCACATGGTTCAAAACACATGTCACATGGTATAAAACACACGTCACATGGTATAAAACACACGTCACATGGTCTAAAACACACGTCACATGGTATAAAACACATGTCACATGGTCTAAAACACACGTCACATGGTATAAAACACATGTCACATGGTCTAAAACACACGTCACATGGTATAAAACACATGTCACATGGTATAAAACGCACGTCACACAGTCTAAAACACACGTCACACGGTCTAAAACACACGTCACATGGTATAAAACACCTAGAATAATATAATTTAAAATAAACCAAGTTGGAACCAGGACTAAAGTGACAAAAATGTATTCAGGTTTTAATGGGAGACATCACAACAGTGTTTAAAGCTGCCATCTGTAATTAGACTGGCCGACCTGGTCCTGTGTACACCACTAGATGCTGTCTATGTTAGTACAGTCTGATAGTGTGCCAGCTTTGGCACATGTGAGCCCAAACGCCAGATGAGGGAGAGGCAGGGGCAGGTGGGGCCAGGGGAGGGGAGGCCTCAGCTGAGGGAAGGGGCCAGGTCAGAGGAGGGGGAACATCTGCCCTCTACTGGTAATAAAAAATCAAATAAACATATTAAGTGTAGTGTCATGTTGTGTTCTGTCACATACACACACACACACACATATATATATAACATGTATTTGTTCCTGTGTTCAGGGAGCAGAAGAACTCGTCCCCGCTCCTCTCTCTCTCTCACGTGTCTCTTCTGACTGATGGGACTCTGCAGCTGTTCAACACGAGCCACAGTGACAGTGGAGAGTACATCTGCTCAGTGCATCAGAGCAACATCAGCATCACCGCACATCTGGAGGTCTATGGTACGAACAATAAAACTATGATATTAAAGGGAAAAAAAAAAGCTTCTTTTAGAATGTTGTTACGTCATTGAAAACAGACCTGCAGGTGGGTTTTGTTTCATTCACACATTTGAATACTCCTGAGAATAGAATTAGTCTGTCTGCATTTTCAAAGCTCAGAATGCTCTGTTCTACCTTGTGATGTCGTGAAGTGGTGGTTTTAAAGTGAACAGGTATCTTTTACCTTTTGTTTAGTAGAAATTGTCATTTGGAGGGCTGAAATTGTCCATTTATCCATATTTGATTCCAAGTATGTGAATCATACAATCCACATCTCGACGTCTGTTTGTGATGAGAAAACACTATTCTAACATTGATCCAAAAATAGCTTAATATGTGCCCTTGAAGTTTTAAGGACAATAAAGAAATGGGTGAAAGAGGAATATTGGCCTGTATTTTGTTTTTAATTGTTTATGTTAATTTAAGTTTAAATCTTAGTCAGTTTTATTTTAACCACCGGCGCCAGACTGATCTTTATAGCACAAATATTGTAGGAATGCTTCTGCTGTGAAAAACATGTGTTTACCCATTTTCTAACCCCACTATACTTTTGTTGAATATTTCTGGCTGGTTTCCTTACAGTTTTTCCTAAAATAAACCAGGAAAAAATATCTGCCAATGAAGTAAGAAAATTATGTTTGAAATAAGAGAAAGAAATACCCCTAAACTTGTCAGAAATACTACATTTTAATACATGCTCGATGATCCTTTTTGCAGTGTGAAATCTTACACCTCTTTCATTGTTATCTCTTGTCAGACCGGAGTGTGATTGTGACCAGTCCGGATCATGTTCGTGCTGTCAGAGGCTCCACCACTCTGCTCCACTGTGAGGCGTTGACCGACCCTCGGCTAAAACACGACCGGCAGATTGTCTGGAGGAAAGACGGGCTCAAGATACAGGAGTCCTCTGCAGACGACAAGTACGAACACAATACTTTTAAGTTTTGGAGGGATTTTAAGTATAATATATATATATATACATACACACACACACACACACATATATATTTTATATATGTTTATATATTTATTAGGGCTGGGCAAAAATTAAAACATTTAATCGCGATTAATCACATGAGTTCGAGCGATTAATCGCGATTAATCGCATGTTATACGCAAAACCAATTAATGAATTAAAAAGTAGAGTATAGCGCTCTTTTATTGGAAATGTAAATGAAAGAGCCAAACATTTGTTGTGCAAACAGCATTTCTTTCACAGGGGAACCCTCAGAGCCTTCAAGGTCTTCAGGGAAGGCTCAAGAAAAAATACTGAATGGACTACAGCACTGAACTAAAGAAATAAGCTCAGCTCAGAGCCGGTGCCTGCGGCTGAACTCGCGGCTGAGTCCGCGGCTCGCGGAGGCTCGGACACGTTGCATCTCACGTGGTCAGAAAAAAGTGTAAAGAAAAGACATCAAACTTAAAGAAATGCTTGCAGTGGACGTTTTCAAAATAAAAGCCAGTGAGAAACAGATGTTTACAATAAAATCAATAAATAAATAATAAAAACTGCGTTAACGGCGTTAAAATAATTGTCGGCGTTAATGACTTAATTAGTTAACACAAAGTTAAAGAGTTAACGTGCCCGGCCCTAATATTTATATATATATGCTATATTAAAAGTCAACAAACTCTCTCGTGATTCTAACTAGTAAGTATTATATTGTGAATGTGCTGTGCTGTGTGCTTGTGTGGTCATAGGTTCACTGTGTTTGAGAATGGGACTTTGAGAGTGAGCAGTGTTCACACAGACGACAGTGGAGAGTACAGCTGTGAGGTCATCACCAGCCTGGACCACGTCCACGTCAGTGGAGCCATCAGCGTCATTGGTATATGTCCTGTTTAGACATCACGACAGTTTAGAATCCTACAGTTCAGTGACCTGTGGAGGAGTTTTCTGTGTAACTGTCAGATGCAGATTTGTTGACCTGGTGTATGGTTCATGTCTCTGTCATTACTGAGCACATGGCACAAGGTTCATGTTGTACAGTGTTTGTATTTTAATGTAATAATCTGTAAACTTCCTTCCTTCCAGCTCCTCCAGATCCGCCCGTTGGCCTGTCTCTGTCTGAGGACGATGGCCACATGAGCATCACCCTGGGCTGGACTCCAGGCTTCCACCACAACAGCCCCATCACTGGTACAACATTATTCATTCACTCCACATTCAGTGAAGAAGTACTGTTTTAGCCACAGCTGCCCTGGGGTAGATTGCTGGAAGTGAAGCAGCCAGTCTGCACCATCAGACCCCCTGTGCAATATGTGCTGGACTTCACAAGTGGGAACACAAGATGGAAAACGTTCTGATATTTACGACTAAACAAAGGAATTTCAAGATAACTTAAATGAATCTAAAGCTAAATAATCTGAGTAATTCTTTTAATCTTCAGATTTTTTTACTTGATGGTTCTCTTGACTATTTCTTTGTAGTTCCTTGTTTTACATTCATTCACTCTGCTCTACTTCCATGGTTTATTTATTCTTCATTACACCATGAAGTTGTTGTAGACGTTACAGTTCAGATTTCCCACGGAGCATAAAAACCTTGTTGTTGTATGTGCACTGCAGAGTTCATCGTGGAGGCGCGTGAGCAGCAGCACACAGAGAAGTCCAGGTGGAAGTGGGAGGAGCTCAGGAGGGTCCCAGGAGACGTGAACGAGATCGAGCTCCGCCTCCACCCATTCTGCACCTACAGGTTCAGAGTGACCGCTGTGAATGAACTAGGCCCGAGTGAACCCAGCCAGGCCTCCCCGGAACACAGCACCCAGCCTGCAAGTGAGTCTTTACAGTGTGTTCTGATTTATGTTATTATGTTGTTTGTCAGCCCTGGAATTACCAAGCTCTACTGAAGAAAAGATAAAATAGCTGTTAATTTCATGACATCATAAGGTAGAAAAGAGCATTTTGAGATTTGAGATGTAGCCAGACTAATAAAAAATAAACACAGTTATGTGTGAATGAAACAAAACACAGCTCCAGGTCTGTTTTTGACGAGGAAACAAAGTTATAACATGACTAAAATGTCACTCAATTTTGCATAATACAGGACACAAAGGTTAAAATATCACAGAAGGATTCGCCCTACCTCTGAATGACACACATTTGTTTTTTCACTTGAATGCATCGACAAATCAAGCTCTCTCAAGTCTGGGGAACGATGATATTTCCCGGTCCTTTAGATGAGTGATGAATGTGTAAATAAATAAATAAATAAAGAAGTATCATTACAGTAATTTACATTTTTTTTCAAAATAATTGTCTGTTTTGTTTGTAGTTCCCACCAGTAACCCGACCGGAGTGCGCAGTGAATCCAAAGAACCAGGAACTCTGGTCATCACGTGGGATGTGAGTGACACTAAACCACGACTAAACCAGGACTGAAGCAGTGATGTGCAGTCAGGGAGGTGGCGTTTGGCTGTCTATGTGAGGGGGCGTGTCTGTGGCCGTACATTTACTACAGAAATATGGACTATAAATTTAAAATAAACTTATATGATACTTATATTGTACCACGGTGTCAAATTTCACTGCACAGTTTAACTTGAGCCTTTTTGCAACTAATGAAATTAGCAAACACTTTAACTATAGTCTGTATTCTGTTCACAAACTACGTGCAGGAACTATAGATAGGAAGGTTATCTAACCAAACAACTTTTCATATTATGGAGTTAAGATCAACAGCTGTAAGTGTCCCCGCACCTCACTGGACTAAACCAGGACTAACCCAGCAATAGACCAGGTCTAATCCAATACTAAACCAGAACTAAACCAGGACTACACCAGATCTGAACCAGGACTGCACCAGGACTAATCATTTGTTTATTTGACTACTATAATAATAGTTAGCTGCAGTCCTCCTGACGTTCCCATGAGCCTAACTCTGTCGTCTGTTCTGTAGGAGATGGAGAAGCGTTTTCATAACGGGCACGGCTTTATGTACAAAGTATTTTGGCGCCAGGCGGGAAAGAAAGACCAGCGCTGGCACTCCAACTCCACAAGCTCCCCTCCGTTCGTGGTGACGGGCACGGGCACCTACACCCCCTTTGAGATCAAAGTCCAGGCTGTCAATGCCATCGGAGAAGGCCCTGTTCCAGAGGGAGAGATCGGACACTCCGGAGAGGACGGTACAGACACAAACATCAACAAGAGCACAATGTCTATGTCAGTGTCAGGGTCGTCCAAAATATTGAACATCAGATTCTGAACAATACTAACAATGATATTGAAAATAGATAATCATTTGTGCAGGTATCAGTACTAAAAAAGTCCCCAGAAATGAACCTTCCCTAAATGGCTTTAGAATGATCTCTAGGTGTAACAGAACAAAACTAGTATACGCCCATGGACCACTGAGGGATTACACACATATAAGGACACATGGGAATAGAAAAGAAAGTACTATATGGAGTAAGAAACTTTCAGAAATATTCATGTGCGTAGGATAAAACTCTGTGCATATTTGGTTGTAGTTGAGCATAAATAAATATTTGTAAACTCTTTAAGGAGTCCAGTTGTACATAAAATGTGTTGTGTGTATTTTATTGATCAGAATATGAATTGAAAAGTTTCAACATCAAGAATTACAATCACGAAATGAACATTTATGATTACGCTTTCTTCAGTACGAATACAAATTCACAGACGCGAGCCGACTGTCAAAAATACATCATCACTTCACAGGCATTATTTATTGAGCAGACGAAACATCCATCGAGATGCCGGACTTCTGCACTGCATACAGACTGAACTAGGACTGAACCAGAACTAAACCAGGACTGAACCAGGAGGACTAAAACAGGTCTAAAACAGGACTAAACCAGGTCTAAAACAGGACTGAACCACAGTACTCCATAGTACTATAATTTGATGTTGAAAATCACATGCTATTGGCTAAAGAAATAATAAAATGAGTAAGTATATAAAGTGTTTTATTAGTATAGTATCATTGTGTTGTTAAAATCGGTATTGAGTATCAAGTGTATTAATGGAGTTTGAAAGTGTAGTATCGTGACATCACTAGTCTACATGCAAGTGAAGTCATTTAGATCAGTTTATATACTGTGTATTTAAAGGTGCACTGTAACACTAACCCTAACTTTTCTGATTGAGGATCCACCAACTGCTTTTCTCCATGAACATGTTCTTGTCATTAAATGTCATTAAAATAATCTAGCTTGGATTTTTCCAATGAATGGTGTTCTTATAGCTGGCAAATACTTTGAAACTAATGATGTTTGAATTTGAATTTATTTATTTGGAGGATAAGCCCCTTGAGATGTCTCCCTATCTCGTTTTCGAGGGGTCTTCATAAATACAACAACAAAAGACAAATACAGAAGGACAGTAGGATACATAAATTCAAATAAGCATAAAAAAAAACCCAAAATCAACACAACCACAAACACACACTCACACACACACACACACACACACACACACACTTGACTGTTTGACACATAATAAAACAAATTTGAAAGAAAAAAATAAAATAAAAAATAAAACTGAGTTTAAAGATAATCACAGAATACAACAAGATGAACAACAAAATTCAAAAAAATGATCAAAAACAATGACATGGGTTCTGTAAATATTGAACCAGGGCATTTTTAAATGAAGGGACAGAAGTTAAAGCACGAATCGATGAGCTTTATATTTAAATGAGTGTTTTCCTATTTGTTTTTTGACTCTTGGGACAAGAAAAAATATCTGATCAGCGTGATGTAAACTGTAAGAAGACCTCAATGGAATTAAATACTGTTTGAGATATTCAGGAAAAGTGAGATGAATGCATTTAAAGATAAATAATAAGCAGTGAAGTTGACGGAGGAGGAGGACAGAGTGAGCAGGACAGATGGTGATACATGGTGAGTTCTGAAGGGACAGCGGAGAATGAATCTGCACAGACTCTTATATATAACGTTGAGTGGTTGGAGGATAGAAGATGTATCTTGATTTGAGCAGGTTTCAGTGAAGATTTTCTGTAACACTTTAATCCACCACAGATTTTTCCTGAAGTTGGAATAAAAATATGTGATCATATTTCAAATTTAGTATTATACCTGCTTGTCTCGTGAAAATGTTATCGCTTTGCCTGGGATTTTCTACGATATGGCATATGCTTACATCTCCATGGAGAACAGAAGGTTCCGGACCCCCACCTGAAGAATTACATAGTGCTCCTTTAAATAATCAAATTGTTTAACATAAGTCACTGGGGTTTGTTGATATTGTGTTATTAGAGATTGTAATAATTTATATAATTCAAATAATCTACCTAATAATAATTCTTATCTATGTAATAATTGTAATAATATGACTGCTCCACAGTGCCCCTGGAGGCCCCTGGTGGAGTGAACGTCACAGTGGTGAACAGCACAGCGAAGGTCAAGTGGAACGAGGCTGAAAACGTTCGTGGTCTGCTGCTCGGATACAAGGTAAACACTGGGGACATTTTAAGATCAGACAGACAAGTGCATATAACGGATTTCACCTTTTTATCATTCTGACTTGGTTTGGTGCTTTTATGTCAGCTAAGGTTAGTGGCAGTTTGTGGAAAAAAGTTGAGAAGAAAAGCACAAAAATACAATAGTAGCAGTTAATTCTCTCTACTTAAGTTATCAACAATGAAAATTTATGCAAAAGGAAGGCATTTTTTACAGCTGAATCATTGATTTAATAAAATAAAATAATTTATTTTTAGTAGTCTGTTCATTATTGTGTCAACTATTGTGGTGAGTCATGCTATAGTTTTGGCCCTTGTTTACATTACGATTGTTAGGAAACAGTACGTGCACCATATCTGCTGCTTTTATCCAACCAGGAACTGAAATAATAAACATCACCAAATGTAAAATTTAGAAAACAATAATCCACATTTTGAGTAAAATCCTACATGACATAGGCTGTTTTAGAACTTAGTGCTACTTCTTGTATTTTCCAACTTTTTGCTTTCTACTTTTCTTCATAAACTAATGTAAAATGATGATAAATATTGACCACAGATACTATTCCACCAACCTTGTCATAATTAGAAATAATATACAGCGTGTCCCAAAAATATTTGACATCATTTTAAAAGCAAATATGTTGAAAACTACTAAGTCTAGCTCAATGATGATGTTGATGTTGCCTTCCTCTTTTCATTTTTTGTACCAAATCCAATTTTGTTTGCCAGTTGATGAAGTTTTTCCAAATGTTGCATTGAAGCTGCCCAGTGTTGGGTGAGTGTGTGCAGCAGATTCCAAGACACAAAATGACTTCTGTTTGGAAGTGAACGGCTCAACCTGAAAACAGAACAAAAATAAAACTTTAAATATAAAATCTTGATGTGTTTCTATACATTCTGTGAAAATTTTAGATTATTTCAACAAGAATTGGCAAAATTATTGGCCTGCAAAATGATATCAAATGTTTTGGGAGCTCATTTACAGTTTATACACATTTTTCTGGCAGTTTTGATGTTCATTTAACAAAATAAAGGTCTCATAAAGTGAGCCTCACTTTTCCTCTTCTCAGATCTACATTCGGAGAGTGGGCCTTAAATCAGAGCGCCGCCGCAGGTCGCTAGGAGAACAGGTGATTGCGGGGGAGGCAGGGCATGAAGAGGAAGAGGAGGAGGAGAGTGAGAGAGTGGTGGAGGTGCGAGGGATGAAGACTTCACATGAGATCTCAGGACTGAAGCTTTACTCCTTGTATGACCTGTCAGTCACCGCCTTTAACAGCAAAGGACAGGGCCCGCCTTCCCCCATGTACCGCTTTGAGACGCCCGAGGGAGGTGAGCACCGAGGGTTCAACACACCTCCATTCACACACGCAGGCAGACCCGGGAATTTATCTGCATTTAGCCACAACAGGATTATGTTTCCAGGTTAATTTCCTGGGAATATGCACGTAGGTCTGTCACTATAACACACTTTACATGATAATATTGAAACTATTTTATGCCACTGAAACAAAGCAGGATAATCCCAGTTTAACCAATTTTGAACTGTATCATTAAAAAACATGAGCGGCAACAAATAAATGGCAGAATGAACTAATAATTAGCCTTCTCCAGCTCAAATCTTGTGTTATTACATCAAAATGGCAAAAATCTCCCCTAGTGCAAAGAAATTGTACATGTGATAAATGTACAAAAGCCACAAAATATATAGTTTCAGATTACATGTATTGAACGATAAGTCAATATTGTAATTATGGTGACAGGCCTGTGTGCAGGGAGGCTCATGGGTGACAGAGGCCAGAAAATAAGTTGGTTTATGAGCTTTTGATAGTTTTAATAGTTATGAATGGGGGTGGCTGCTTATTGTTCTGGTTTTTGTACCCAGCAATTTATTGTACAGTTTATGTAACGTTTGCCCTGTGTATATAATAAAAAGTTTTAAGTTAAAGGAGACATGAGAAACCACAAGATTACTCAGACATGCATGGGTGACATCTAAAACCTTTTCTGTTTTTGACGAGAGAATGGCATAATAACCTAGTACACATGTGGCAAGGCCAAGGCCATTTTATGTGGCCCACAAGGGGTTAAAAGGTATAATTTATTATTATGAATGATGAAATGTGAATGTTTTAACTTAAATCTTTAAATCAAATCCAATTCACTTTATTTCTATAGCACATTTCATAAACAAAACAGTTTCCCAAGTGTTGCACAATACAGATAAAACATATCCAGTAGAAATATAAAGTAAAGCTCTACTTAACTCATTAAGACAATAAAACTAGTAAAATAAAATAAAATCAAGAATACCAAATAAATTAATAAATATTAATAAATAATAAATCTAATAATAAAATAAATAATAATACAATAAAATAATAATAAATCAAAATAAATTATAAAAAGGTAAAAAGCATAAAAATAAACTAAATGAATAAATATGAAATGATTTGTAACATACCGCTATTACAGTTACAGGTATAGTCTTAACTTTACAACCGGACCTTTGATGCCAGTCATGAGCCAAATGTGGCCCTTGGTGAAAATGAGTTTGACACCCTGGACCTAGTAGTTAATTTAGCATAATACCCTCTTTATTTATTTTAAAAACAACATTGTGTTTATGTCCAAAAGATAAAATAATGATAAAACATTAGACATTTCTGTGCAAAAGCAGAATATATCTCTTACACATTGATGGTTGTTTGTGCTTCCAGCTCCTGGACCTCCTGCGTCTCTGACATCTGAAAGCCCCACAGACACTTCCCTCATCCTCATCTGGACTCCTCCTCTGGAGACCAACGGCATCCTGCTCGGATACACCGTGCAATACCAACAGGGTAAGAACACACCATTAAATTTGCTGATTCAGGCCAAACACAGCTGTATGTTCAACACTAGTGCAAATCTGCATTCTGTCCAAACTTCAACACATACAAGATGCATCTGGTTTTGAAATAAACTCTAATAAATACATGTTTTCTGTGTATTTTAAACAGAAAATGTCACAAAATTCTTGTTGCAGTGCTCTGACGTTGGCGTATGTCAGGGGTGTCCAATCTTTTTTCACAGTGGGCCACATATTGGAACATAAAAAAGAGGAGGGCCACAGACTGTTGAACGATACAGTAGATCTTTGAGATGCTTTAACAGAGCCATGTGCCTTGAATAAGACTTGCAACATATATTTTAGGTGTGTATCACAATGCAGTGTGGCATTATTGAGGTTATAGTGACAGAATTACTTTACTTTGCTATAGAAATAACAAAAGGCATGGAAGATTTACTCACAAGGAGGACATTTTTCTGTGTTAAACCTTGATTTAACTACATTATTGGTCTAATTGTAAGTATTGTTTATTATAGAGAGCTTTGACCCTCACAAAACTAGATAAAAATGTTTGTCAAATCTTAAATATAATGATGTTACCTCTGTTTTAGTGAAAAAGTACACCTGTAAACTGCAATAATATCCATTTTTCTATATATCTTCCATCTCTATTGATAGTATATTTTGTTGATGTATTTGACAGGGACAATGCATGTTAGTCGCAGTGTAAATATGTAGTTTTTGTGTTTGTGTTGCAGAGGGAGGAGATAACACAGAGCACATAGAGATCAGACACCCCCACACCACTCACCTGGAGCTGCCATCTCTAAACTCCAGCACCTATTACCTGTTTAACGTGAGGGCCCAAACTGCTAAAGGACACGGACCGGCCAGGGGACTCCGGGCCGCCACGCTGCTCGATGGAGGTGAGAGAGACCTTTTCTTTTTCTGTTTTTTACTTTTAAAGCCCTAGTCAAACGGGATTAGTTTTGCAAAGGGACGTCTGTGAAATTTAAAATACCCCATGACCTGTGAGCTCTTTGTGTACATTTGCATGGGACAAACTACCTGTTTTTATGGATTTTATTCCAGAAATGGTGGACTGATAAACACAGCGAAACAAGACAAGAACCTTTTGATTCATCATGTTGCCAACTCTGCTTTTATTTTCAGTTTATTTTCAACAGAATGCACCTACTGTAGCATCAAAGACCATGTTTCTTACGTTACTTTACCCGCTCCTTGTTTGCCACGAAAGCAGGGTTGTACGTCCAGGTCACATCGTTACTTTAGTTTGATTTATGTTTTTTTTATTTTCAATTATAGAGAAATACTGGATTAGAGTAGAGTCCATGAAGAATAAATATTGTTGATTTAGTTTGTATTTGGCTGTATACACATTTTCAATCACTATTAGCTTCAATGCACAAATAAAAAACAAGGCAATTTACAGACGTAAATCTGGACGAGAATTACCTGAAGAGTTCTGAGTTTGCAGAATTACAGGATGTAAAATTCAGGGAAATTTTTATAGACATTTTTACACATGGACTAATCATATATGTTTATTTTATTAAGAAAAAGCCCCTTGAGGTGAGTTACCTCGTTTTTGAGGGGGATCCTTAGCATCCAAATAATACAACAACAAGTCACAAAAATACAAACAGGCAAAACAAAAACAAAACAACATATCTAATAAACAGAAACACAAAATGATAAGACAAAATACAAAGACACAGACATTAAACATAAACACAGAGAAACGTCAATATAACAACCAAACAGACCCCTCACTAAAAGCAGTCACATTGTGTTTTAAGATGAATGAATAAGTCTTTCTTAAAGATATGGAATGATGATGTGGAGCGCAGAGAGTTTGGCAAATTGTTCCAGTCTGATGGTGCTTTGAATCTGAATGCTCTTTGTCCGATAACTCTGGAAGCCTTGGGTATTACAAAGGAAGGATGGTCTAATTGTCTGAGAGAGTATTGTGATGAAAATGGAACAAAGTATTTTTGAAGGTAAGATGGACAGAAAAAAAAAATGCATTTAAAGATGAACTGAAACCAATGGAAGCGCATTCTTGCATCAGAAAGTAACCAATCCAGAATCTAGGAACACAGATGAAGTTCATATTTAGAGAGAGAGAGAGATACTTTATTGATCTCGGGAGAAATTCAAGTTTTGCTGCAGTAAACTGTTGCATCTGATGTTTCTGCAACATTTCCACTGCACGTCTCAGTGTCCTTTGTGTCTGAGTCAAAGGTCTGAGTTCAGTTTAATAGGAGCAGTGATCACAGGGAGAGACAGGGCAGATCCTGTGGAAGATCCAAAAGTGTCCCTCCTCTGTGTCCTGCAGCATCACAGCAGCCTCAGGGGGAACCAGGTGAACTATTACAATTTACCAGAATACTCCCGGTAAAACTAATCCCGTGGCAATAGGCCTTAAGACAGTAAAAATTGTGTACATTGACTTTAAGAACAACTTGCGGTGTTTTTGTGTTTTACCCCTCGGTGCTCTGTGTCCAGCTCCTCCCTCAAACGTCTCCATGTTTTTTGGAGACACGTATCTGAACCTGAGCTGGGTCCCAGGCCCCAGAGACAGAAACCACGGCTTCCACATCGACTACCGGCGAAAGGGAGGTAAGAACTATATCCCCAAAGCTCCAAATGTTCGCTTCCACCTTGTGATGTCATGAAGCGGTATTTTTCACATTAACAGCTCCTTTTACCTTTAGTTTAGTAGAGATTGGATATTCCAGGGCTGAAATTATTCAAATAAATGAGATTGAGAGCGTTTTCAGTTTGAAAGAAGAACTCTAAATGTGCAGGGTTTGTGTGTTAAACATGAGTGAATGAATGTTTTTGATGAGGAAACAACACAGTGACATAGATCAGAAAGTAGCGTAATATGGGCCCTTTAAAAATATTAAATTGGAAATATTCTGGTGTAAGCATTTTTCACAAATGTTCCAGTTTTTTTTGTAATTCTGCAGGTACATTTATTCCCCTTTGTCTCCGAAATCTTAATGAAATATGGTAGATAGTATTATAACTCAATTTAGATACAAAAGACCTGGTACTTCATACAGATACTGATCCCACGATGATAAAAAAAAACACCCTGAGTTTCAACACTAGTTTTAGTATTGATTAATATCTTTTCTGTACTTTGACCTACTGCAAAGCCCTGGTCTTCTCTCAGTGAGCTCCGTGATGTGGTGTTCTTATTTTTAGCTGGAGAGACGTGGGAGGTGTCTGAGCAGGTGAACTCCACGCAGGGCTTCTACTCTCTGACGGGACTCGAACCGGGAACCACGTACCACCTGCGCATCCTGCACCACAACAGCACACAGTGGGAGCAGATCGTGCAGACCAAAGGACCAGGTATTTATGAAGTCGTAGTACTTCAAATCACTGTGGCAATGTGCTTTTTTTGTTCATTTATGTTTAAATGTGCACTGTGTAACTTTTTAGTCACTACGTACTAGTTCTGAATTGGTTGTATAATTTTAAAAATTGTCACAGATATTTCTTCCATGACTCAACTAGTCAGAAAATCTTATATTTAGGCACTACAAGTTTAAAAGAAGCTACAATCCATTTACCATAGTTTCCCTCTGCAACACTTCACTTGTGTTTAGATTCAGTGATACAGATTTACTTGAAAAAAACTGACTGCATTTTCTTTGAGAAAAAGAAAACTTTTATTTAAAAGTAAGGCCAGGCTTTTTTGCAGTGTGCCTATAGTCTCCTGTCCAAGTGTTAACCAGACCGAGCCCTGCTTCGCTTCAGATCAGATGAGACTGAGCATTCGCAGTGTGGCATCAGTCAAGTAACCGTGAACTTCCTCTCACTAACTGTTAGAACATCCTGTTCGTGTCACAAATAGTACGAAGCTTTTATCATTCACACAATTACTTACAGTGGGAGAAGAGTAGCCAAATGTAGACTTTTAAGCTGAGCCCATCAGATACATGAGCCCTCTGGCCTCTGGCAGAGACATGTTCAAGGTTCTTCCCCCTGAAGAAGATATCGCTCCATTAACTGTTCTTCTTGCCACGATTGGCATAGAAACTTCTTCTCACAAACTGTTATAAGCTTGAATGCACTTTGAACTTTGCTGTAGCACCTTCATATTTTAGCTCTTAATCGTTTGTATATCTTTTATTTCACAGTGTCGTATGTCAGTCTTTTATTTGTTCATCTGGTTGTTTTAATATCTTTGTCACTTTGAGCTTTTCGCACATGTTTTTCCAGTGTGGCTTTTAACTAAAAATGAACTGGGCGGCAGTAGCTCAGTTTGGGCGGCAGTAGCTCAGTTGGTAGAGCATTCACCCACTGATCTGAAGGTTGGCAGTTCGATTCCATCTCTCGACATAAACATCACAGGTTGAGTGGTCAGATCCACTGACCCACAGGTTGGCTGGTGTGATTCCAGCTCCCACAGATGAATGCTGCCGTTGTGTCCTTGGGCAAGACACTTAACCCACCTTGCCCACAGTGTCTGCGTACACTGGTGTGTGAATGTGTGTGTGAATGGGTGAGTGGTTCCTTGTTGTGAAGCGCTTTGAGTGCCTTGAAGGTGGAGAAGCGCTATAGAAAAATGTGACCATTTACCAGTGTTGTGCAAGTTCACACTTTTCATGAACTAGTTCAAAGTTCAGTTCACACTTGTTCAAAGTGAATAGTTCACGTTCATAGTTCACAATTTTAATTTCGAACTAGTTCAAAGTTCAGTTCATTTTATATTTAGATGAGATCTGTAAATGAAAGGCTGCATTTATTTTTCAAACTGACTTCTAGTTTACAACAACTTTACAAGATCCACTGTTGGACAAGTGATTTTAAAACTGTAATGTTTTATTTATGACTTGTTACTGTCATTTCTAAGTCATTTGTTACATTACAATATTACTGTATTTAAAATGTAAAACATTATATGACTATTGCAGCACTTTTAATTTACTCTCACCAAAAGAACTGTTAAGATGTTGAACTTTTGCGCCGTATATGGACTGAACCAGGACTGAACCAGACTAAACCAGGACTAAACCAGGTCTAAACCAGGACTGAACCAGAACTGAACCAGGTCTAAACCAGGACTGAACCAGAACTGAACCAGGTCTAAACCAGGACTGAACCAGAACTGAACCAGGTCCAAACCAGGACTAAACCAGGTGTATACCAGAACTGAACCAGGACTAAACCAGAATTGAACCAGGACTAAACCAGAACTGAACCAGGTCTAAACCAGGACTAAACCAGGTCTAAATCAGGACTGAACCAATTCTAAACCAGGAATAAACCAAGACTAAACCAGGACTGAACCAGAATTGAACCAGGTCTAAACCAGGACTGAACCAGGACTAAACCAGAACTGAACCAGGACTAAACCAGGACTAAACCAAGACTAAACCAGGACCAAACCAGGACTAATCCTGGACTAGAACTTGGAATCTAGGACCGCCCCTGAGAGAACCCCGAGTGCGATCGGGCGTCAGCTGCGTTTATCTCGGTGGAGCGCGGACTTCTGCGTCGGTCCTTTCGCTCAGGATCACGGTCTACGCGGGCGCGCACCTCCGGCGTTTCACCGCTGCTGATATCGCGGTGATTTTAGCAAATTTGTATGAAGAAAAACGAAAAACCCACCATTTCAGTCCAGGTTAAAAAAGCATTGTGACGCGCGTTACTGACATTTGTACCAAGTAAAATAATACGCGCGTGGAGCAGCACGTCCTGTGCCTGTAGATTTCAGAAAATAGGATCCATCCTATTTTTTGACGCTCTACACGAGCGTAGGCGCGTATCCCCGTGAAAATCCACAGAGAGCATGTATCTATTGTTGTATTTGTGCATTTACCATCAGCACATTGTGCTCCCTGGGCAGTTGTGTATCAAGTGAAAGAGCCCAGATCCACATACACTGTTAATTAGTGCTTTGAAATTTACTAAATCAGAAGGTAAATACAAGCAGCTAAACGCGCCCAGTCAAGTTTGATTGACTTTCCCATTGAGAGACACAAGAGCCCGTACGTTCCTAAAGCTGCCGGTGGAGTCGCCTTCGCGTTGACACGCGGCTGTGGTTTCGCGAGGTGAAGTGTGAGCAGATCGTCACTCGTCAAATTCCGACGTTTAACTGAACCCCAACAGTGACGTACGTCGTTCATCACACATAATTTGAACAAATTCACGTTCAAGTTCTTGATTTACAAAAGTGTTGCGTTCAGTTCAAAGTTCACTGAAAAATGAACGTGTTCAATGAACGCGTTCTTTTGAACTCGTTCATGCACAACACTGGCAATTACCATTTACCATTTACCAACTGTCCTAATCTAAACTATTCTGTATTAATACTGTGCAGTGGCGTTACGCTGGGGGTGTTCCACATTTATCTCTATTGGCAGAATGTTCAACAGTATGACACAATGCACCATAAGCAAGCACAGACAAAAATGCTTTAAGATTTTAAGATTAAAATAAAGCTCAGATGAAGTGTACATTGAGTAACAGAGCTTCAGACAGAGTAGTGCTTCTGGTTAGCTCCACACCCCCAGGAGATGTTGATGCTCAGCTGTAAAGTATCAGGACTGTCAGAACATACGCACAGTGTGAGGTGCTCCTGCCCTCTGCTGGTGGTGCTGACACTGCTCGGTCTGTTGCAGATGTGTCGGAGATGCCCGGAGGATTTGCGACTCAGGGTTGGTTCATCGGACTCATTAGCGCCATCGTGCTGCTGGTGCTGATACTGCTCATCCTCTGCCTCATCAAGCGCCGCAAAGGAGGAAAATACGCAGGTAACACAACTCAGACATTCAGAACACAACTGTGGGCTCAGGGAGTGTTTGGATTGTTAACTAATGTTTGATTTTAGTTTTTATTCTAGAAATACACAAGCAGTCAAACGTTTGGATACACAGCAACAGCCACCCTTTGCTTTGATCACTCTTTGTATTTCCTAATTCAAACAAGGTACATCTGTGAAGTGAAAACCATTTCAGGAAACTGAAGCTCATTGAGAGAAGACCAAAGGGTTTGTCACCAAAGCAAATGTGGATCTACAATATAAAACATATTTAGTAGGGTGGTCCAAAAACTTTTTTTTTTTAGATTCTCTAGATTCAAACCCTGCATTTGGTTCCATATCTGGCAAAATATTTGGGTCAAAATTTTATGCAAATGAATGAATGTTTCGAGTTGCTCAAGACACTTGAAAATGTTCCTATAGACCCTAAACTATAACACAGAACCAAATAAATGAGGGCTATTCCAAACATTGGTCATTTTAAGGCTGATTTATAGATCTGCGTTGAGGTCTATGTCTACGAAGTAATTCCACACCACAGTGTTAGGAGGCGAGTATTGTGCGCGTGTTACAAAATGAAGCGGGAAAGCGGAGTACCAGAAATGTATGTAGAGTGGATGTAAAGAGAACTAATCACAGTCCTTATTGTCTGCGTCAGTTTGATGCGTAGTTGTAACATTAATATTTCTGAGGTGCACGTTGGCCGATGCAGACGCTCTGTGGAGGGGGTTCAAGACGCGGACGATTTGACGTACGACCATAATTTGGGCTCTATTCTGGAAACACAAACTGAAACTTGCACAAAATGACTTTAAAGTCCAGCTCCACTGTGTGTTTGTTGGCGTCACTAAAGATGCACTAAAGAAACACATCAAACTCACAGATCTGCTTCTCTTCATAATCTGCTTGATTAAGAGCTTTGTCATGTCGCTTTGGTGGAACCTCTGAACTTTTCTTTTCCATAATATTGTGAACCATCATCATCTTCTGTTCTTCTGTCACACTGGAGTGAAATATGCAGGACAAACATTTCTTCACTCAAGGACGAAAGATGTGGCCCAAAACTGTTGAGGTGTTTTGTTCACAACTGAATGTTCAGACTGTGAAGCTTCTTAAGGAAAACCAAATCATCTGCAGGAGCTTCAAAACTTCATGCAGAAACTTCATGCAGCGAAGAGCAACCTCTAAAACATCTCCTTTTTCTTCTACATTTCTTAAATCATTTTTTGGAAGCTAAAACCTAATTGAAGGCTTCTAATTGAGGTGATCTGAAACTTGATTTTTGATCATGCCTTAATGGATCACCCTCATACTTAGTTGTGTCGTTTATCTTTTTTTCTCTACTATATAATTCCATATATCTGGCATTATGTACTTGACGTGTTCTGTATGTATAAAGCAGTAAACATAAAGAAAACACTTTGAATGCGAGGGTGTATCCAAACTTTGGACTGGTTAGTGCATTTTGTGGATGAAAACAAAATCAAAAGTAACGAATGGAGACTTATTCTACTGATACTACTGAACTAGGGCTCCTCGATTTGTCAACAAAATGAATCATATTTCTTTTCCCCATATTTTTACATTTTTACACAATTATTTATTAAAAATTGCTTTCAGTCATAAGACCCAAGCTCCCGTCCTAACTAGATCAAATACAATCAGTTTGAACGACATGTACTGAGCGTTTTGTTGATAAAATAAAAAGTATTGTTTGATCAATCTTTTTCACGTTTTGTGCCTCAGTTAAAGACAAAGAAGACAAAGAGGTGGACTCAGAAGCTCGACCGATGAAAGATGAGACGTTTGGAGAATACAGGTCAGTGTACGTTAAGAGGAATATCTGCTCTGCGTCACGTTTCTGCTGGAAGGTGTGCCACCCGCTTGTCTCCGTGGACATGTTGTTGCTTTGTCACAGTGCGGTGTTAAACGTATCCATCTTGCATTTACCAGAAGCATAGATTTTTATGTAGTAGTCTGAGTGCCGAAAAGTGTCAATGAAAAACATAATGATCAGACTTTTGCTGACGTGACTTTTGCTTTTCTGTGCTAATATTACAGTGAGAGCTTCATTACACAAGTCAATAGAAAAGGAACTCAATCACAAAGTATCGATTGAAAACATTAAGAGTTCATGTTGGGTTGAGCTGCCTGGAAACACTCAGAGCCAGTGCATGTTTGAGTGGAAGTTTGCCTCTAATTGCTCCTGGTCTAAAGCTTTTATCCAGCACATCTGCATAATGCCTTTAAATGATCCACTCTGTCTGTGTCTGTGCTGCTCTTTCTCTCTTTACTTTAAACCTTTTATGTTAAATCTCTTCTTTCTCTTCCTTTTCATGCTTTCCTATAGATCACTGGAGAGGTGAGATCAAACTGCATCGTGTTGCCTGGTTTAGTCCTGGTTTAGTCCTGGTTTAGTCCTGGATTAGCTCTGGTTTAGTCCTGGATTAGCTCTGGTTTAGTCCTGGATTAGCTCTGGTTTAGTCCTGGATTAGCTCTGGTTTAGTCCAGGTTTTAGCTCTGGTTTAGTCCTGGTTTAGCTCTGTTTTAATCCTAGTTTAGTCCGAGTTTAGTCCTGGTTTAATCGTGGTTTAGTCTTGGTTTAGTCCTGGTTTAGTCCTGGTTTAGTCCTGGATTAATTCTGGTTTAGTCCTGGTTTACTCTTGGTTTAGAGACAATAAAACACTTGGACAATCCAACACTTTGTAACTGGATGCAGACAGTACATACACAGCAGACTTATTTTGAGCTGAAGATCTACTCATAAATGTATCTGTACTGGGCCAGGTTTTGTTCAAATACATGGAAAAAAAACTGGGTACATGGTTTTTAATATTTCATGATAAATGCATATTTTAAATCACAATATTTTCATCTAAAACAACTTAAGAAAAGAAACAAGTGCGCTAGAAAACTGTGGTATCTAATGGAGCTGATGTGGCCATAAACATCATCACTAGGGATGCACCGATACCGATACTGGTATTGGGTATCGGCCCGATACTTCCTTAATATACTTGTACTCATTAGATTTGTCGATACCACGCCGTGATACTATTTTTGCATGACACTACACAACATCACTGGTCACGTTCAGGAGGTCATATGCCGACTTCAGTGTCAAGAGGGAGACAAAGAGTCAGAAGACACGGTTCATCATGTGTGCAAATAAAGCTCAATCATGTCGTCATCAGCAGTTTGGAAGTATTTTAGTATTAGGGAGGATGACAGGAGTAAGGCGGGTTGCAAATGATGTAGTATTTAGTGCCAAGGTGGGGAAGAGAAAACACCTCATTTAATACGAGCAATTTAATCAAACGTTTGAAGACACAGCACAGTGATAAGTATGACGAGTTCACTAAAGCAGCACGAGCTGTCAACAGACAACTTTAACCAAAGTGTTCAAGAAGCGGGAGAAAATGTTCAAAGATAATACTCAGGGAACAAAAATAACTGAGGCACCACACTTACTCAGTACACTGAGCTGGATGAGCAGCTACTATCAGTCGTGGGCATCTTCTAGTTGTTCTAGAGCCCAGATACAAGGTGCCCAGTCGTCTCTACAGCTCAAATGTGATGTTGCCTAAAGTGTTCGATGCTGTTAGGTCAGCGGTTCATGACATCGACTGATCACGACTGATATTTGGTCTGATATTATCTGCCCAATGTCCTTTTAAGTTTGAGAGCCCAGTGGAGGAAGAGGCGTTTGCTCGTCATCACACCGATCAACCAACCACACAAATGTGTAGACTAATAGTGTCACTCACTGTCTGCTGTGTCAACTATGCATCATATTTTGTAATGATCAGAGAATAAAATAAAATGTGCATTTCCATTTATTGTTATTGTATGTTCACGGGGTGGGGGGTTAAAGTATCGGTATCAGTGCTCAGTATCGGCAAGTACAGAAATGATCATACTTTTACTCATATTGGTTTTCAAAAAAGTGGTATCAGTGCATCCCTAGTCATGACAACAAAGCGCCGCATGCAGGGGGCTCTTCCTGTGGAGCACTGCACATCACACTAGAGCAGAGCATTTTTATACTTTTGGACCAAAATGAAAATAAAACTGGAGATGGAAGTGCATGTGTCCCAGTGGGTGTGTACCAGCAGAACTGAAAATGGAGGTAGATCAGAGCAATGACGCTTGAATACAGGAGAATAAAGATGATTCAAACATGCATAAATCACTCTAAATACAACTTCAGAGGGTCAATGAGAAGGAAACGACTAGAACATGGTTCAAACGAGCTTGCAAAAGTCCATTTTGTAAAGTAGGTTTTGCTTTAAATGCATTTCACTGAGCCGTGTCCTCTCTCCCCAGTGACGGTGATGAGAAGCGCACGGACAGTCAGCCCTCCCTGTGCCCCAGCAAACTGGGCAGTGACGATTCTCTGGCCGAGTACGGAGACAGCGTGGACATCCAGTTCAACGAGGATGGATCCTTCATCGGCCAGTACAGCGGCAGAGGCCCGGTGCCGCACGGCAACGAGAGCTCGAGCCCCGCCTCCCCCATGACGAACGGGCCGCCTCCGCCCCTGCCCCCTGTGCTCAGCCGACCCAGCTAAACAACCACGCTCTGTGCACTGCCTAAACACCACCACACGCACTGGCAGGACACGTCTGCACGCGTGAAAATGACTTGGAGTCTGTTCTAATTTTGATTTGACAAAAAATGAATGAGGTTGTCAAAAGTATAGAAAAGCTCCACTGTGGAACCTGTGTCTGGGTTCACTGGAAATCAGGCATTAGTCTTATATACAACTTTCTCCACACATCGACAAGTTATTTTGATGCATTAACTATTCACTGCCCATAGTCAATAATGAGTCGACTGACGGGCTGCAGTTCGCTCCTCAGACCACAGTTAAACATGAGCACGTTGTGTTGCTTAAGGACACAACCGCAGACAACCTTTTTATTAGTGCGAGTCTAAACAGTGAACAACTAATTGACAGAGGTGATAAAGGAGCCAAAAATTTTACTCAAATAAGAATAACGTTACTTTAAAATAATATTACTCATGTAGAAGTAATAAGCGGTGGTCCAAGAAATGACTCAAGTAAGAGTAAAAAAGTATTTGGAGAAACTAGTGCTCAAGTAAGAGTAACTTAAAGAGTAACTGCTGGGACCGAACAGCTTATTTATCATTTTAAATTGATATAATTATGTCAGACACAAAAATGAAACAAACTAAAACAAATCTGAAGGAGCTTTTGTCACTTTAGACTCACAAAACTTTTACTCAAGTAACAGTACTGTTACTTCAAACTAAATATTACTCAAGAAAGAGTAAAAGTATGCTGATCGAAAGGTATGATTTCTTTATAAAGTTACTCAAGTACATGTAACTGAATACTACCCACCTCTGCTGAAGGTGGGACAAAAAAAAAAATCTTCAAAATCCCCAGGTTTAATAAAAATGTTTTAAATTATTGTTAAAATGACTCAAATCAAGTTTCATTTGTGAATCCAAGTCATTTGAACTGAAGCAGACGTTTCTTTTTCACTGTCGTCTCTGTACATTCCACAGGTTTATGCAGTTTACAATTTACACAGCTTTTAAATCAACGTATCTCTGAAAGACAAAACGAAGATGTTTAGGACAGATACAGAAGTGGCATGTTACGAGCAATCTCTTCTATTATTCTCATTAATCCTCCGTGTACAGACTCCTACATATTTTTACTTCGATATTTACTGTTTCTGTTTGGTCGGCCAATTTGAAGTCACGGTTTTGTATCTTTGTTGGAGCACAGTTTGGTTTGGTGCATGTTTCTGGGAATGATTTCACTCTTTTTCGACTTGTTCAGGACAGGCCTAAACCTAAGATGCATAATTTGAGCATTTGAGTTCAAAGCTCCCATATTATGATGAAGCAGTTTCCTCCGTAAATACAGACGACAGGGCTTTGTTTTTGAGCTCTCAACAGAATGTAGCGCTTAGTGGAAAATGTAAAAATGGGCAAGGTACAAACCCGAGGCACAACCACTGAATATATAAGGGTCTGCTTATGCCCTAACCAAGAGCATCTGGCCAGTCGAAACACGTTGGTGTCCCTTCATGAAATAAAAGACTTTTAATATATGCAGTGGGTGTACCTCGGGTTTGTAACTTGCCCTTTTTTACATTTTCCAGTAAGGGTTGCATTCTGTTAAGAGTTCAAAATGTAACCGTCGTAGAGCACCTGTACTGCTACTTTTTTTTTTACGACCCAATGAAGCTCTACCTTTTTTCTTCATCTGAATGCTTTGTTTTCGTCACAGTTTCAAATTCAATACAATATATGGCCTCACATACTAATTGGCAAAGATGGGTAAAGTAGCTAGAACTTGTACTTGTATTTGTATTTGTATTTGTTTATTTATTTCATTCATAAAGTATGAAAAGACATCGACAGTGTCACAACATCAGACATACAAGAAAAGAATGAAAAGGAGCAGAAAGAAGAGAATCTTGAGTACTTAAGAGTATTGTTACTTCACAAATAATATTACTCAAGTAGAAGTACAAAGTTGCCCAATAAATTACTCAAGAGTAAAAAAATTATTTGGGAAAACTAATATTCTGATCTGATTTATAATTTCAAGTGAATATAATTAGAACAATAAAACATTAAATAATACACAGAATCTGGTGTTTTCAAAAGGACAGACACAAAAATGAGACAAAGAAACACAAATGTTCAATCCATTACATATTGTCACATGAAGTTTTTGTTACTTTAGACTTTCAGTGGGAAGAACTCAAGTACAAGTACTACTGCACTGTATAATATATTACTCAATAAATAGTAAAAGTATGGGGTCTGAAAAGTACTCAGAGAATTTATGAAGATGTTACTCAAGTAAATACCGTTTTGAAACGCACTCCACACTGTTGCCTGTAGAGGGCAGCAGAGATCCAAGTGTAACTAGTATGCAAAACTCTACGCCCAAGCAGAAGTGTTCCACAAATCCTGTTCACATCCTAATATGGGAGCTTGGTGTGCGTGTGCGTGTGTGTGTGAATGTTGTGTGTGTGCGTGTGTGCATGTGTGTGTGTGTGACCCGAAGCCTTAAGAGTCCAGTGTGTCCTCTGCTCCTCCCTCTCTCTCACCAAAACCATTCTCCATTCTGCAGTTTGGTCTCTCACAATGAGTTTTAAACATGTTTTTATTTGATGACTTCTTTGTTCAGTTCATTTGTTTTGCTTTTAATCTGAACTGAAGTGCGTCCAGAGCAGGTCTGTGTGAATCCTATGCATCTGAAGTCAACGATATGTTTTATATTGTAGGAAGTGGACGTCGTTGCTCCATTTGGCACCGTTTTTCAATTTCTGAGATCTGTTTGCTCAGATTTACGCTTGATCAAATTTACTTTTGGTATATAAAAGTTTTTATTAGTAAATATTCAGTTGTCATAGTAAATTGTGTATTGAAACAATTCAAGTGAAGAGGGGCCAAATGGGGCAGTGACAGTGGAGTGAGGTGAGAGGTCCTGTGTAGCAAACTCAAATCTGGACCTTCAGACTGAGAGAAAGAGAGAAAAGAGAGAAAGAGAGGGAGGACAGAGAGGACAAAGTAAATATGTAACAGTGAAGGGATAGAAGAGAATCAGCTGTACTTTTCTCTGAATGTAAATACAACCTTAAGATTGTCATTTTTTATTTTTTATTATTATTTTGTACGATGATGAAATTGTAACTTTTTAAATCTTCGTTGCTTGGTTTTGGTTTTGTACTTTTGGTCTGGTCTCTGGTCTAGGTTCTGGTCCAGTCTCTGGTCTAGATTCTCGTTTAGATTCTGGTCTGGTCTCTAGTCCGGCTTCTAGTCTGGTTTCTGGTCTAGATTCTGGTCTAGTCTCTGGTCTAGATTCTGGTTTAGATTCTGGTCTGATCTCTAGTCCGGCTTCTAGTTTGGTTTCTGGTCTAGATTCTGGTCCAGTCTCTGGTCCAGTCTCTGGTCTAGATTCTGGTCTGGTCTCTAGTCCGGATTCTAGTCCAATTTCTGATTTAGATTCTGGTCCAGCCTCTGGTCTAGTCTCTGGTCCAGTCTCCGGTATAGATTCTGGTCTATAGTCTGGTCTGGTCTCTGGTCCAGCCTCTTATCCAGCCTCTGGTCTAGATTCTGGTCTAGACTCTGGTCTGGTCTCTGGTCTAGACTCTGGTCTAGACTCTGGTTTGGTCTCTGGTCTAGACTCTGTAGCCTTGTATCATAATCTCACTATTGTTGACACTTAGCCTTGAGTAGTCCAGAAGAATTTAGAAAAATCTAGAACAAAAATCCAAGTTTTTGTTTTCAATGCTGCAAAAATGTGATGCTCTTAAACTCCATGTAAACAACTGACCCGAGAATGCTTTTCAAACCAGCGCCCAAAAGTCCCACTGTCCCTGAAGCGTCTCTTAAGTGCCCAGGACTGATCCTGATGCTCTGGACACAAACGCTCCTCTGCACCTTTCACACAACAACAACAACAACAACAACAACAACAACAATCACAAAATCTTAAAAGACAGGATTTTGTGCAAGTTTTGGGGCAGTTTAATACTTTAGATTTAAAACTTAAAAGGAGAGCGGGACCAGAACTTTTACAACTCATTAAAAGCCAAAGTGAATTCTTGCAAAAAATGTCTTCCCAAAAATCCTCCGAAACTCTAAGGATGTAACAGTGTTCAGATCTCGCGTTAAGATCCAACAAATGCTCTTCTTTTCATGATCATTTTGACCATAGCTTCCATTATTTTGAGCTGTGACTTTGTGACTCTGTTCAGCAGATGCAGTCCTTGCGCCCTCTGCTGTTCTGTTTTGTTTTACAGTTTCATGCCAACAATGGAAAACAAGAGATGGGACAAGACACAATTTTCACAAGATGAGACACAGAACGAGATCGGATCCACGAGAACAAAACAAGATGACATTTTGACATCATTTGTCATTCAGAATAACTAATGTTGGCTTCTTTAATTTTATATAACACTTCAGTGGTCATTGACGTACTGCTTTTTGGAACTACACCTTCTCAACCTGCATAACTCACCAGCTCTTAACTCTTTTCTTTGTTCAAGCCAAAGGTAAATTCAGGGGGAAACAATCTCACAAGATCATTTTCCTCATGTGTGCATAGTCTTGTGGCAATTTTGTCTCATGAGATCTTTTGGTCCGAGATCTTGTCCCATCCCTGCGGAAAACTTACATTATTTTATGCTTTATATTACAATGTCAAAGTATAGTAACTAGTATCGAAACTAGACACTCATTTCAACTGGAATCGAGACTAAAAAAGCCCCATTTATAAGACAGGGATGAGCCTTTCCTGAATTACTTTTGAGACAATATAAAGAAGATTTCTGAGTGAGAATGTGTGTATTGGATCAGAGCAAAGGATCATGGTCTATGTAGTTCCGTCTGCCTATTCACCAGTGCAACAAATCAGTGCGTATTAATCTTCTGTTGTAAAAGTCCCAACTAATATTGTGAGATTTGTTACATTCTTACATCCTTAAAGTTTGAGCATATGTACAAAATTTCACTTTGAATGTGCATTTTCAAGAACAAAGGCTGCAACATTTGGGAAAACTATCTCATTTTGATTGTGATTTGTCTGTAGATTTGCAATTTATGTTTCAATAATGTGATTCTGGTCAAAGTTCATATGAAATCACTGAAATCTGAACTCACAAACTAATTCAAGAATTTCATTTCAGAACATTTGTACAGATAAAACTACACGGATAGCAGCTTTTGTGTTGAATTTTGTTGTCTGTGGAGCACTGTGTAACTTTTTGTTTGTTTCCATGGATACTGTATGTCATTGCTCTGCCTGGAATGTTCCACAGTGTGACATTAAACAGCTCTACTTTACATTTATTCATTTACAGGTGGTTTTATGGGTCAAAAACACCTAGAAAAACAGACGTCCTGACTGTGAGCAGGTTCCTCTCCACAGATCTGACCTGTAACTTGCTCTGGTGTGGTCTCCATGAAGATTCCATGAAGACAGAAATGTTTAATGCCACACTGTGAAACTTTTCACAGACCCTCCACCAGAAAAGTTACACACTGCACCTTGAAGTTACTTTTAAAAAACTGCAGCCTGTGATTTTCTGATCGTGTCCGTTCAAATTCCAGCTCGTTTCGCAGCCGTAAAAGAAGTTCACATTTGAGAGGGTTCCTTTGGAGTGGCTTCGTGCTCTGTGTCATGATGATGTCTTAATAACAATACTAACAGAGCATTTGTTGCACTGTAGACTTTAATGTAACTCCAGCTGTTGCCTTGTCTGTCTGTGCTCTCCTCTTTTGATACTAATAATGACTTCAAAACACGTTGTCGCGGCAAAATGTCCTGCACGTGCACAGCGCCCTCTTGTGTGCAGTCGTCCCTTTGACAAGTTTCAGCACAGATTATTAGTCATATTACCTAAAATCTATAGAATTCCTAAACCGTAGAGTAGATTAGTTCATTAAAGGCCTTGGGTTTAATCACCACAACAATGTCGTACCAGGAATCTGCAGAAGTCCTGGTTTAGTTCTGATCTAATCCTGGTTCATCCTTAATGATTTAGTTCACCCCGGGGAGTCAAACTCAAATTCACAGAGGACAAAATTAAAAACTAGGACTAAGTCGTGGGCCAAACTAAAGCTACTTATTGAAAAACTATTTATTGAAAACTTTCAACAGCATCTGCATGTTTTCTCTTCTTTTTCTTCTTTTCTTATTAAAATAAATGTTTCATAATAGTTTTGCTTAAACACTGAATCCAGAACAAGCAGAATATAAAATAATAACAACATTTTAAATAAATAATGTCTTTATAGTCTATCTGTAACAGGTCTGCAGCTCTAAGACAGATTTGGTATGATCTCATGGGCCAAATATAATTATATCAGGGGCCAAATGTGGTCCCCGGGCCTGAGTTTGACATGTCTGAGTTAACCTATACTTCAATTGCACGATTTAGATTTAGTCCTAGTTTAGTTCTTTGTTAAGTCTTCATTTAGGCCTGGTTCAGTTCTGGCTCAGTCTTGGTTTAGTCCTGGTTTAGTCCCTGATGTAGGCATGGTTCAGTCCTGGTTTTAGACTCTGGTTTAGTCTTGTTTTAGTCCCTGATTCAGTCACTCTGAATCAGGTTTTAGACTCTGGTTTAGTCCTGGTTTAGTCCATGCTTTAGTTGTTTCTTGTGATCAGAGAGTGTCCAAACCTCCTCCACGAAGTGACTTAAACTGATCAGAGGGACAGTAAAGAGCGAGGAGGGCGCTGTGCATAGGCCCTGATCTCAGATTTGGTGCCCAGATGTGAGTGTGTGCTGCTGGTTTCGAGGGGACAGAGACAGAGCTGCTGGTGGTTCCTCTGGTCAGGGCTGGACTGGTCTATGGCAATATGAAAATGAAACCTGCTTTTGCATTGTGCGCTCTGTAAACAACTAACAGACTTTACACTAATAAAATAAACATGGACTACACTTCAACCACGTGTCGTTTTTTTTACCTTCATTTAAAGAGGCACGAGCCAGAGGTGCAGAGGATTCTGTGTGGGAATGTCCACACACACTCTAATATCTCTATCTAAGTAAATTATCCAGACTTTATTCCTGTTTTAAGTGTATTCTTTATCTAAGCACAAACTAATAAACACAAGAGCTTCAAATTTCAAACTAATATTACTCAAACACAAAGTGGTCCAAGAAATAACTCAAGTAACAGTAAAATGTCCATCAATTCATTTTCTTCCTCTTATCCGGGGCCTTGTCACGGGGCAGCAGTCTAAGCAGAGACGCTCAGGCTTCCTTCACCCCAGACACTTCCTCCAGCTCCTCTGGAGGGACCCGAGGCCTTCCCAGACATAGTCCCTCTGGCACTCCTCCTAGTGGAACATTAACACGTACTGAGTAGAGATGCGCGGATTGCGGTTACAACCGCGGTATCCGCGGTTAATCCGCGGGTCGGGCGGATGACGTGACGAAAAATTATATTTTAATTAAATTCGGGCGGGTGGCGGTTTAACTACTAAAAAAAAAAAAAAGTTATTGTTAGTATTGTTACGTACATCTGAAAAGACGAGTGTCATTGTCTGTGTTTGTAGTATGAAGTGTACGTCATGTCCTTAATTAGCCCATTTGACCTGTTTTTATGTTCTGAAGGTTCAGGTTGTGTCGGGTTATTGATGCCTAAGGTTTACGAGGCACATATTATATGCAGTTTATTTTATTATTTCTAATTTATTTCAGCTGTTTGCCAACACGTAAGTGGCTATAGGGCCAGATTTATTTAGTTATGCTTTTTTTTTTTGTTTCGATATCAGTTATATTTTAAAAACACGCAGACATTATAGCGTAGACTGACACTCAGGGTTTTTAAAACTTAAAGAAAGACCGATGGAGTGAGGCTATGACTTTGAAATAACATCGGGCAATGGCAGAATGTTCAGAATGTAACAACATCCAACACGAAGGCAAGAAGGTTCAAAAACAGCCTAGTTGGAAAACGTTGTCAGTTAATTAGCTGCGCAAGAAAACCAGGTAAGTCTGGAGTTGTTACGGACAATTAAGAATGTGAACATACACGCTGAGCCAATTTTGGAATGAATGAGCTGTAGAGTTTGCATTTTTATCGAGGCTCCTTAGTTTGTTTGCTGTATGATTGTTCTAAAATCTAAAATCAGTCGGCGGATGGTGGCAGGGTGCGG